ATTCTTTAGCGTTGCATAGTATTCCATTGTGTGAATGTACCAAAGTTTGGTTATCCATTCCTCAGGAGACTTTATTTTTAGAAGAGTTTTAGGTGTACAAAAAAATTAACAGAAGGTTCAGAGTTTCTGTATATACCTTCTCTGTCCACTTATACTTTCTCCTTTTTTTAAAAAAAAACAACAGACGAACAATTTGCTCTGTAAACTTTCACCCAATCAGACTAAAACGTTTTAGTCTGATTGGGTGAAAGTTTACAGAGCAAATTGGTTTTCCATTCAGCAATTCATATACTTTTTGTCTTGAGACATTGTTTGCAATCCCCACAGTGTAATTGTAGTCTTTCTACTTCCTCCCTGTTTTTATTATTTCCATTATTTCTTCTTTCCTACTCCTTCCTTCCTTCTGAGCTTTATCCCAGAGCGAAGCTGCCTTGCAGTCTCATATAGTTGATTGTTCTAATAAGTATGTGCTTCCCTGGTGTTATTGTTCACCTAATAGACTTCTCTATTGTTAGGCTAAACGTTAAGCCACAAGGGTGAGTTCACTTCCAGCCTTCAAGTGTGTCTAAGGGCCATACTATTAGGAGTTGACAGTCACTATCAGAGCAGAGAAGCTGGTCTTTTTTATGATTTTGAGTTTTGTTACACATTTTTTGACCCACTCTATCCAGGACCTCCTATTGTGATCCCTTTCAGAATAGTTAGCACTGGTAACCTGACACCATCTAGTTCTTCTGGTCTCAGAGTTTCAGAGGCTGGGATTCACATAGTCCATTAGTCCTTTGGACCAAGTGTTTCCATGTGTCTTTGATTTTCCTCACTCTTTGTTTCAAAGAAGCAGTAGTTGAGAGAGACCAACAGTTGCACCTCAGGTGGCTACGTACAAGCTTTTAAACCCAGCCACTGCTCACCAAAGTAGGATGTCGAACATTGTCTTTGTGAACATTGTCTTTGTGTTATGCCAGTTGCGTTTGATGTCCCATAAGACTATGAGCTCCCAGCCTCTGAGAGTCATTCCTTCAAGGTGTTTGGTTATGACTGAGAGGCTGTCATAATCTCTGGTAGCATAGTGGCTAAGACACTTTGCCTGCTAACCAGATGGCTGGCGGTTCAAACCCACCAGCCACTCCTCGGAAGGAAGGTTGGGCAATCCTACTTCCGTAGTGATACTGCCTCGGAAACCCAAGGAGGGGTCGCTATGAGTCGGGGCCGACTCGACGGCACATAACAACAACAACAACAACAATACATATTCATAGATACATTTGTAGCACAAATAAATACATAATGCAGAAACATCTTCTGTCAAACCTGTATATATTCATGGATATAGTCTTACTCACTTTTCCATTCCTGTTCATCTTGTGTGTCTGTCTGTATGTCCCCTTACAGATTGTGCATGTATGTATTATGTATATAATACACAATGTAGATTGTATATGTAGTAGTTTTTACCTTTGTTACCTTTAACTTTTGTCCTCCTCTTAGTGTCTTCATTTACTTTGACCATTTTGTGCTGACTTCCCTTCCCCCTTATTGTATATTGCCTGTCCCTTCACCCAGGTTAATATGGGAGCTCTGGTGGCATAGTGCCTAAGGCATTGGACTACTAACCAGAAGGCTAGCGGTTCAAACCCACCAGCCAGTCCTTGGAAGGAAGGTTGGGCAGTCTACTTCCATAGTGATACTGTCTCGGAAACCCAGGGAGGGGTCTCTAGGAGTTGGATCTAACTCCACAGAGTTGGGCAGTGATTTTGGTTTTTTTTGGTTTATGATCTCATTTAGTGAGGTCCCCTCCCATTCTCACATACCTTCAAAGAATGTTCCTCTCTGTGTAAAACTTTTGACTAATTTCACTCAGTATAATGTCCTCCAGTTCATCCATGTTATGAAGTGGTTTGCAGCTTCTTCATTATTCTTTAACATTGCCCACTACTTTCCATTGTGTGTATGTACCATAGTTTATTTATCCATTGATGGATATATCTGCTCATGTCATGGCTCTTGCTTCCCTAAGATATATACGTAGTAGTAAGATTGCTGTTGATATTATATTTCCGTTTCCAACTTTTACAGGAAGGGCCATACTGTTCTCCACAGTTGCTGTGCACCGTTTTACAGCTTTACCAACAGTGTATGAGGGTTCCAGTCTCTCTCCACCCTTGCCAGCATTTGTTGATTTCTGTTTTTTTTTTTTTTTTTTCCCAACTTTGCTATTAATACTAGGGTGAGATGATACCTCGTTTTAATTTGCATCTGTCTAATAACTAATGGTCACCAGTATTTCTTCATGTGTTTGTTGGGCACCTGAGTGTCTTTGATAAGGTGTCTCCTCATGTCCTGTGCCCATTTTTTTTTTTATTGGATTGTTTTTTTGTTGTTGAGGTATTGAAGTTTTCTATAAATTTTAGAGATTATTCCTTTGCCCAATATATCACTGCCAACAACATCTATCCACTCTATAGGTTCTCTTTTTACTTTTTTGGAGAAGTTTTTTGATTTGTAAGAATTTGTAATTTTTAGGAGGTATCAGTCTAGTTTGTTTTCTAAAAGCACTGCTGGTGTGTGTTTAGTTATTTTTGCTAGTATATTTAAACCATGTATTAAGACCCCTAAGTTTGCCCCTATTTCTTTCTTTTCATGATTTTCATAGTTCTAGGTTTTACATTTAGGTCTTTGATCCATCTTTGAATTAGTTTTTGTATATGGTGAAGGATAGAGATCCTGCTTCATTTTTCTGCAAGTGGATTTCCAGTTGTGCCTGCACCATTTGTTAAAGAAACTGTCTCTTTCTCATGTAGTGTGTTTTGGCCCTTTGTCAAAGATCAGCTATCCTTGGGTGGTTGGATTTACTTCTGGGTTCTCAGCTGTGTTCCGTTCGTCTGTGTATCTGTCATACCAGTACCAGGCTCTTTTGACTACTGTGACTGTATGGTAGGCTTTGAGATTGGCAAGTGTGAGGCCTCCTACTTTGTTCTTTAGTAGTAGTTTGCTTGTCTGGGTTCTTTTTCCTTTCCATATAAACTTGGTGATTGGTTTTTCTATCTCTTACGGAATGTAGATTACATTATATCTATAGATCACTTGAGGTAGTATTAGTATTTTCACATTGTTAAGTGTTTCTGTCCATGAATGTGATATATTCTTCCAGTTATGTAGATCTCTTTTGGTTTCTTGCAGTAGCATTTTGTAGATTTCTTTGTGTATGTTTTTTGTTTCTCTTTTGTTTTGTCTTCTGGGTGGCTGTTATAAATGATATTATTCTCCTTGTTTCCTTTTTAGAGTTCTTTTTGTTAGTGCAGAGGAATCTGACTGATTTTTGTATGTTGATCTTGTTTCCTGCCACTTTGCTGAAGCCTGTTATTTCCGGTAGTTTTCTTGTTGACTCTCTGGAATTTTCTGTGTATAG